GATCTCAAAAAGTTATTTAGAAGCACAGCAGAATATTTCACCATCCCCAGCTTCTCTGTTTAATCAGGGGCAGGAGGCCAGCAGTGGTATAAAGATCAACAAAATTTGCAGGAACTAAAAGAAACCTGCGTACTAATCTCATTCATCCAGCCCCTGCCCCCGGAACACCCAGGACTCACTCTTTATTCCATTCAAACAAAATGGGGGTGGGGTATGGGTGGGGGAGCAGAATCTGATGAAGAAAGAAAACAGTCAGCAACCAGCAACCCTAATGGTTTAATTTTACAGAATTCTACACAACACAGGTAAGGGGATCATTTGCAAGACATGAAAAAAATTTTCATTAAGATGATACTTTCCTCCCAATTATAAAATGATCAGTGTAGTCCCTAAAGACTGATTTCTAAACACAGCAAAACGAAAGTGGTCACAATCATTTCAATACAGTAGAGAAGCTACAAATACAACCTTGGAAATAAAGGCATAGGGGTTTTCTCAGTATCTCCCCAAGAGAAAAAACACTTTTCATTTTTGAACAACTCTTCTTGGGTTGGATGGACCACTAAGTCTCTTCTTCATTTATTTTCAAGTTTTACGGAGATCTCCCCAGATTTTTCTGGGGTCTGAATCAAAGCTGAAAAGTTTCGTGACTCGAATACGTTTAGCAATATCTAACTAAGAGCTTAAAGATGAACACAGTTATTAAGATGAAAAGCAGGAGTAGCTGGGCCAAAATAAGCCAGGAGTAAATAATAATAATAGTTCACATTTACTACTGACTCCCTGACAAACCTAAGCCATTTACATCCATTAAAATGTTTACAAGTCACAACCACCATATAAAGGAGGTATTTTTATTACTTATCCCCATTTTACAGATGAAAAACTGAGGCTCAGGGANCTGTAAAATGGCTAATTTTAATTTTATGTTTTGTGAATTTTATCTCAATAAAATTTTTTTTTAAGAATAAAAAAAAAACAGAAAACAAATCGCATGGTAAATGCTTTTATAAACAGCAGCCATATGGTGACCAAGGTTCTGGGCTTGGTGCTGCCACTTACTGGCCGTGAGGATGCTAAGTTGACTCTCTGGGCCTCAGTCTCCTCATCTGTAAAATGAAGGGCTGGATTAGATCAGAGTTCTCCGTCTGAACGGCCTGTTAGCAGTCACGTGGAATGCTGCTTCTAAATGCACAGGGTGAACCCACCACCCTCAGGTTCTGATGTGCCGAAGGCAGAATCCTGCCTACATCGCCGTGTTGAAGAAACACAGTTCAGGATTTCAGTCCGCTCCTTTTTGCAAACACCCTACTAAACACGGCCAGCAGCCCATGATTCTAGTGCATTCATCTATGACTAAGATACAGTTTGATTAAAGAAGACAACACACTAAACGAAGCGCATTTATTAGGATGATAAACTCCAAAGAATCACAAATGGTTCTCTTGCACACTTGGCAACTGCGGCAACTGCCCAGGAAAATGATACCTTAACCGAGTCCACCGGACTCTGCTTACACCACAAAAGGAGTTTTAAGGCAGTGTAATTTGAGGCTGCAAAAACCACATCTGTGACATAAACGTAACATTCAAAAATAACTCGGGCCCTCAAATGTCCCTGATACTAACAAATCTCTGAATTAGTCAAGCCGACAGCCATTGTCAGGGACAGACAGACAGTCTCAAAAGCAATGCAACATGACGCCGGTACAGAGGGGCCTCTCAGGGCCCTCCAGAACTTAGGCAGTCAACACAGATTGATGGCACTGACCTGAGGCCTCTACTCACACGTTTTGATTGCACATGAACATTTTCCACTGTCTTAGGAGAGCAAATGCACATTAGGTGAGAGAAATATAGGTCTCACTGTCTTGTACACGAACAGGACTACAGAAAACACAGGGCCAGACTCAGCTACATGGAGGTAACAACTTTTCCGGCAGGCCCTCCGCAGGCACTGAAATGAAGCTTAAAAATACGCCGGGGTTAGCTCCGTCTTGCCCTCTGCGGTCACCACCTGGATTAGGCTTCCTGAGCTTGGTCGGTTTTTCTCTGTGATCCAGTCGTGGAAGGTTCTAGAGCACAGGAGAAAAGCTTTACATTGTAAAAGCAAAAATATGGACACGCTTATATTCACATCAATGGTTGGAGGATGGAGGGGTACCGAGCAGCGGTGGGAAAGCCACAAAGGCATCAAGGACACATAGCCAGGTCCCCAGTGATTTCAGCACTTCACTCATTCTAACCACTGAGTGGCAGGATCTGGCGAGATTCTAACGTCCATTGTTCTGTTTTTCTGTGCTGTAGGAATCCTTTATAACTCAGTGATATGATTTTAAGTAATTAAAAAAGCCTTTAATTAGTTCATTCTAAGAGACAGACATGCGCGCAATACTTTATGCTTTGCTGTATCGCCTTCCCAGAAATTTAAAGGAGAAAAAATTCATTTTGTTTTAGCAAACATTTATGCAGCACCTATGGCTGTGCCAAGCATATATGGGAAAATATATGCATAAAAAACAGACTATTACAATAAAACACATTAAATGGTGGAATGGAGGCATCTAATAGCTATCTGGGTGGCGAGGGGCAACTAACACTGCTTGAAGGCGGCAAGGCCTCCTCTAAGAAGGTAGGAATAAAAGTCTTAAGAAATTCACAAGGTTGAACAAGTAGCCGGTAATTTTGAAAACATTTACTTTGGGTGTTGAGTGTGCCGTTCCCTTTAACCATCCCCCACTGGGACTGTGGACCGTCTTTAATTAGGAAGCACTGAGGGGTTCCTGGGATACTCCTTAGTGCCCGTCTGTAACCTTCGGGACCAGAGTTAATGTTTAACTGTCAAGTCAGTGGAGCTCCCACTCTGAGGATGGAACAAGCCAAGGGAAGATACACAGGCTCAAAAGACAAAGCGCTGTTACCACCCCCTAAACTACTGTATTATGTCCTGACCCCATCTCGGGGGGCCGGGCAGAGCAGGCGCGAAGTCTCCGAAGGAGACAAGTCACGCTTGGGTGTGTCGGGATGCACATGTTACTTATGCAAGCTATAAGCTGTCTTACTTCTCCTGCACCCCCATCAGCAGTCTGGAGTAGGTGAGAGCAAATGCCACCCTAACCATGGACAGCAAAGAAGGTGAAGTGCTCCCAGACATTTCGAAGCAAACTTTATGCCAACCTGTCATGTGAGTTTTCAAACACCACAAACAGAGGAACATGATTTCAGGGATAAAGAATGGTTGGCCCGCCCTCCCCCTGCAGGTCAGCACTGACTCAGACACGTGACCTCAGATGTTCCATGTAGAACCTAGATCCTAGATCAATGTCTCTCTCAGGTATTGCTGGGGAGTCTTGGACTTTTTAAAAAACGTAAATGCAAACACAATTCCAAGCCTGGTGTCCGGCACAACTTCAAATTTCTGTTTTGCACATCCAGCATTAAGCATGATACCTGCCACGGGAGGAAAGAACTGCCAACATAGTGGCTAAGACCACAGGCTCCGCAGCCACACTGCCTGGTTAGATCCTGGCTCCGCGGTGTGACCTGGGGCAAGGTTTTTGGGACCCCCCCCCCAAAAGAACATGGGCTTGTCCTCTAGCTCAAAAGAGGCGGAGAAAAGGGGCTGGAAGCTGCCTCGTCACTGACATTACGACTGTGATACTCACTCGACGAGGAACTCTAGGGGCGTCCAGGAGCTGAAGTCCGCTTCGGGCATGGCTTTCCTGTTCATCGGAGTATCCAGGGTAACCCTGTGGTGCAGAGACAGGCTTGTCATTTGTGCGTCCCCTTTATCACCACCGCTGCCCGGCCTCCTGGGCCAGGAAAAAGCACCACGAGCCTCTAGCACCAAGGGCAGCACAGCGGCATTTCCATGGAGAGATCACATGAAGATAATCAGAGAGCGGCCAGGAAGCCATGCACACTTACAGAGTTCACGGCCAGGCGTCATTCAGTGAGGTGCTTGGTGACTCACCGGTTAGGCAGACAGGAGCAAAATGAAAAGAGCTACATTTTGCCTTTTTAAAAGATACAGTCTTTATTGAAGTAAACTGCTTTACTGTTTACATCTTCATTCGCTCCCTAAAATGTGGCAGACTCATTTCTCAGGATTTTTTAAGTGTAATGAGAACATCCCTTTAAACATGGGGAAAAGACAGACTCCTACTGCATTTTGTGGCTGTTTTCGATGAAACCTTAGGGTTTTCGGCAAGAGAACACACAATTCAGATATGTACGACTATGCCTTTCCCAAGACCATGCAGGCCTTAGGAATTATTCAAAATATCTGTGGGGGCAGGTCACAGGATCACAGAAGCTCACCGACGAAACGGAGCCAGAGTGTCCAGTCCCCCAGCAGCGTCAATGTCTACTTTATAGGCATGTAGGCAAGAGACAAGCCCGACGGTGCCAGAATCCTTCCAGCAAGAAGGAACTCTCTGCCTCCAAAGCAGCTGCCTCAACTGCACCAGCTGCCTGGGGGCTTCTTCCTGATCACAAATAAGACTGTCTCCCACTGTGTCCCATAATCTCCCTCAGAGTGCCCCCCCCCACCACACACACACAAAGACTAAGTACAGTCTCTCCTCCACACTGACCTTATAATGACATGAAAGACAACAAATATTAAAATAGAATGTGTTGGCTATTTTTAATACGGAGGAAAGGAGGGACGGATAGAGGGAAGAAAATAAAACAAGAAAGAGGCAAGAAAGACCCGTCCCATCAGCCAGCCCACCACTCTGGCCAGCCCAGGATCATCGCACACCTGAAGAAAGCTCCTCAGGGCCTTTAGTGAATCTTAGGAGCCAAGGTGACGACACACATAGGCCCCTGGTGGAAAGCGACTCTAGGACACCTGTGAACTCTCAGCAGTGGGGCGGAGGAGGGCAGCCTCCCCAACCACTTACGGGAGCACGGCGATGGCCGCAGCCCGGGCCGGCATGCCGCTGTTCTTCCCAGCGAGGCTCTGGCAAAGCTGGTGGACGGCGCCCTTGGCCATGCCGTAGCCGATCATCCCTGGGAAATGGGGAGAAAACGGGTCAGTGACCACTGGCCGCCACCGGTGTGTCCCAAGGCAACCATGCCAGGGTCCAGGGGAGGCCGGGAAGAAGAGACAGGTGGGCACCTACGGAGAGACAGTGAAAGGGGCATAAACATTTCAAGCATGCCTAATACTTGCCTGGCACTTAACATTCATCGCAAAAACCATGAGGTGGACCCTATTTTTATTGCTGAGGAAGCCGAGGCTCAGATACAGTGAGTAACATGCCCAGACTCACACATCAAGGC